AGTGAACTCACAAACCTTCAACGTTTTGGAACGAACAGCAAAACAATCCACATGGAGAAAATGTGATAATGGAGCCATAACGTGATGGCACCAGGCTCTGAAAACATCTCTGCTCCAAACTCCATTGTATGCATGGTTTAGTCTGAGCATAGGGATATCTGGAAGCCACATCAAAGGGCTGATGGATAGACATTTTGTTAACATGTGTAGAACTGATGCCAGGCCATAAAACAACATTGTACTGAGTATTACACATCTTTAGAGAAGCCTTTTTTTTTTTTCCTGTTTCTTTTTTTTTTCTTCTTTTTTTCTTTTTGGGATGAGGGGAGCGGGGAAGAGGTCTACAAATTATTTCTTTCCTTATGTGCATGAATGCCTAACAGACTCAGAAGCCTGGACATTTTTCATGTTCTCTTGTTCCCTGGAGTTTTGCCCAGTATCATAAATTCCAAGACAGGGCTGATTTTTGAAACAGGGAAAGGAAGAAGAATGAAAAAGTAAATATGCTGCTATTTCTTTTGTAGAACAGATTCTGTTCCACCAGTCACAAACTGATAGAAAAATTCACAATCCATTACCTTAGCATCTCTCTTTCTCAGGTCACTCTTAGGACTTCTTACAAAGTGCTGTCCAAACTTGGCGCAGAACTACATCACATTCTTTCATGGTCTTTTATGCCCGTGGTGTTCAAAATAGAGTCACTTTTCAAGCGGTACTTTTTGTAGATATGGCACTCCATAAAAACAGGAGGCAAGAAAGCAGTGCAGAATTCCTGGAACAGCTATTCAGGATTCTAAAAAAGCCACTCACAAGCCCCCCTTTTTGTGCTCTACGGTATTTATGCTAGATCACAGAATAATGAGCACCGATTAAAGGTATGTACTTTGTAGGGCGCTTAGGAAACTGTTTTCCCATCACTTAGTAACTGTAAGATAAGTAAAACAGCACTGCACACCAAGAAATACGCAGTACGGAAAGATACTGAAAGTCAGGATTATAGATGAGTTATATCTTTATCCACTTTGATACCTTTGCAGTTAATCAAATATTTTGTGGTTCTGTGTTTGGCACATTAGGTACATTGAAGCCAGACTAACAAGAAACAGCCACTATTTATATCATTTCCCCAGAGATGGGAATGGTTGCTTCTGCACTTTAAGACCAATCGTGTTACATCTGTACTAAACTGAAAAGACAAACATGTTTTACTGCCAGCTCTGCCTGAATTTCAAATGAAAACCACACTAGTTAACTTGTGAATTTCTCAGTCAGCCAGTCTCCAGTGTCAGCTTACACAGTTTATACAAAACATCTCACCAGTACACAATGCAGTACAAAAGGATGCTAGCAGCATTGTCCCAGGTTCAACAATGTGCTTCAAAAACTCCTTTCCCAAAACAAAAGTCAGGAACAGGCTGCAAATGGATCTCCTCTGCAATAGCCTGGAACTGAGGAGGCTCTGCTACCATATTTTTTCATTTCACAAACTCTTTGGCTCAACTCTCAGGAGTCGTACAGGCTGAAATATGTTAAGTCCCACAGCCCACAGGTTTTCCACTCTTGCTGCTGTCCTAAGCACCGTGAGAATGTGATTCCAAGCTCAGGAAGGTTGCCAGGGCATCAAGTCATAGCATGTTTGTTCTCACTGTTTCGAACTACTTGTATGTAGTAAAGCTTGATCTTGAATTCATTATCTTGTGGGCACAGGCTCACCTCCTTTGGGCATTTAAAGGGATTCAGGCTTCAGCGGGCACTAAACAAGCACCTCAGGAGTGACAGTGAGGACGCTGGATGTCTCTGCTCAGAACACGAAGTCATGCCCACTGTGACTTTATGGGTGCTGTCTGGGGAAAGCAGTGCCTTGACATAGAAAGGATAATACAAGGAGAAATAGAACAGAGACACTGATGAGATGGGGGACTTTACTGGCAGCGTGATAAAGTGCACTTACTTTTACTCTTCAGATTTTTTATACACCCCTTAAAAACTTGGTAGTGCAAAGTTGCAGCTTATGGTAGGTTTCAAAGTACATTTATCTTAGTTGGAGCAACTGATGCTGAAGCACTTGTTTACTGCTACTGGCTGGCCACATTGGAACGGAGAAATTGATGCCGAAGCATTTGTTTACTGCTGCTGGCTGGCCAAACAGAAAGGATATATATCAGAGGAGAAACTTGAAGTACCTCTGGGTTAACTGTTCAGCCAACTCTTACTGGGAGCAGAGTTTCCTCAAAAAACAACAGGACACCTGCACTCAAGTCACATCAATTGGTTTTGAAGGTGCACACATTCCTGAGAGCTTGATGCTCCCACAAAGCAGTGATTAGATTTCTTTTATTGCTTTAAGTTATTCAGAAATGTAGATGCATTAAAGTTAAGCACAGGAGCCTAAATAGAGGTCTGCAAGTTCAGCAATTCCACCAGCTGTCATGATAACAAACGTTTCTTGCAGTTGCAAAAAAAAAAAGCACGTATTACAAAAGTTCAAGCACACTGAGTCCAAAATACAGCAAATTTGTAGGAAAACATGTCAAAAGTATTTCAACTTCATTTTCTGTTTTCAGTAACATTTACACCTCTCCCTCCTCCCTCCACTGTCAAACGCAAGATGTAAAAAAAAAAAAAAAAAAAAAAAAAAACAATTGGAAAAAATGACTTAAAAAGGAGACACCAAACTGGTCATGCTGCAAGAGCGGTCAAATAATAACAACAATCAACTCCGCTTGCAACAGATCGAATTTGCAGACAATTATGGTTTCGGTTCTCGGTGATTATGTTTAATAAACATGCTAAAAATCTCACAGGAGGCATTAATGAATTATGTATAACCCAGGCAGTATATTAACTTCCAGTCAATACACAGACAAGTACAAACGTTCCTAACGTGCAGTTACATCGAGAACCGTGTCACTTCTCACCAGACTCCATCAGCATTTCATGGCGACCCTCGTTTTCCATTATATTTCAGGGTTTTTTACTCTTAATTAGCTGTGATATCTGTGATCATGTTTCACAGGCTGCAGCCTAATTTGCAACTCTCTGACTTCAGACCTTTGTAATAGCTATTCCACCCACTGCTAATTTCTCACCCTGAGTTCAGAGATCCAGATTAACTTTTGTTTCAGTTTAAACCTTAAATTGAAATTTTGGCCCACAGAAACAGCACCTTTCTCTTCTGCTGGACTTGTTAACACATTTCCAAACACTCTGGTATAAAGGACATTGTAAGAGTTTGGGTCTGCAGTGTATTTTATTGCCCGAATAGTTAGATGGTTCCAATTTTTAATGGAGTAACAAAGTGGAATTAGCGTGCTGAAGCACCCATTAAGGTTCCGAGAGGAACTGAGTACTATAAAAAACTAAACATTCACTTGTTTTATTTTTCTGTTTCTTGGTTACTTTTTCAAAGTGTGTACGCTACCACTCCCATTAACATCAGCAGGGGGCTTGTAAATAAGCCTTTACCCAGCGTTTCAAAAACCTGAGCTTCTCAGAGTAAGAAGCGAAGCGGTCACCATCCATTTCAGTACTTAAAGAAACACAGTCAGATAGCAAAGGGAAAATAAAATGCATGCAAGCATCTTTAAGCATACTTGAAGGTTACATTTGGACACTTTATAATCTGAGTTGAAATGCCGTAATTTTGAAATCCACCAAATTCAGGGAAGATAGCATGTTAGCTGATCAGAAGCATTACTAAAAACTTCAGATGACATATCATTAAATTAGCTGTTCCCTCCTTTAAAAGTTAGGGCACTGTCTTTAACTCAGTCCACGTGTTTCATAAAGCTAAACCAATCAACCACAAATGATTACTACTTTTTTTTTCCTTGCCCAGCGATCAAGCTGCTGAAATTGTGCATTTGTGCTAACACCAAGGATTTTGAGACCTCACAAACCACAGCCACAGAATTTCTATTTCGGAACAGGTAAAACCCTTGTAAGAACTATGGCGGCTGGTTTAAAGGACGGAGATATTCATTCTGATTTTCCATTGAAGCTAGAAAACTAAAATGGTTACAAAAAAAAAAAAAAGAAAGAATTATGGCTCAGTAGATATACTTTAGCAACAATTCCTAGTGCTGCTGTGAGTGAGGCTGCATCAGCATTTTCTTGATATACCACACTGCCAGAAAATTCATTCTGTCTTGTAAGCTGACATAGAAGACCGCATATTAGAACAAGTCCTCCAGCACAACAAATTTAGTCTGCATGATTTTTGGCCACAAAATGGGAAGAAAAGAGAAAGCAAGAAGAAAGTCTTAAAATGGAAACGAGCAATTTAGGATCAACCAGTGTTCAAGCAGAATTTGTAGCTACTTTTTAGTGTCGATGGCTTATTGCTCCAACCTGACATGCATGCAATTCCAGCTAAATGCAGCAATGGCCTGCATAAGAAAAAAAAATATTTAAAAAAAAAGTTAAACTGACATTCTGTATTCACTTTTACAGCTGAAAAAAAACTCGGGCAAACAATTTTATTTCCAGACAGCAGAATCTGGCTTATTTGGCTGATAAAGAAACTGCTTGCAGATTATAAACAGAACAACATGCAAAAACAGAGCAAAAATCCTTATGGTAACCATAACTTTCTTTTAGTTATTAAGAATAATAACTGTATTGTTGCAGTGCTAGGATTTCACTTCTGCTTCCATACATGCTCTGTGGCATCTGTGCAGATGGCACTAGTTAATGCGAGCTTTAAGCTACGGAAACAACGTAGGAGGTTAAATTGTGTACAATTTCGTTGAGTTTCCTGTTCTTAGAATACGATAATTCTTACAAGTCTTGTAAAATAGTACATCAGTACATCCCAGTACATCAGGACTGAGCCTGATTGTTGCAAACCTGCTACCTGGCAAAGAATGAAATGCTGAGATGCTGAAATGAGGAAGAATAGGTGACTAAAAGGTGCTCATTTCTTAAAAAGTGATGTTCTCTGGGTTCGTTTCGTATTTTTTAAGATCAAAATAAGCTTCTTCTCATATATTCTCACTCACCTGCTCTGGGTACTTGTTTCCAACTATCTCTGCCACAGTGTTGAAAGAAGGAGAGTCTGGGTAGGTCCTGGCCCCCATCTTCAGGTACACAACAATCTTAGTGCCCCGCAAAGCCATCCGTGACATCATTTCAGCATCTTCCACAGAGATGCAAGCAGTGGGAATCCGGGGTACGCCAGACTGATAATTCTGCCAGCCGGTATGTGGGCTACAGAAAATAAAAATAAAAATATAGTGTTAACAGCTTAGCTTTTAAGTTATTACCCTCACTATAGAATTATTAAAAAGCATACTTTCATGGCCACCCCCAGCATACCTGCAAAAGGAATGCAGTTATTATGTGGAAATAAATCTTTTGATAAAATTCCTGAATTGTTTTTAATACTAATTGGTATATCTGACTATCACCAATCTATATGCCTGGGAAATTACTCTGTGTCAGCACTATTTAGATCAACATTATGCTTTGACATTACAATAGTCAGTCCTCTGATAGCACACTTCCTTCGCTGTTTGATCAGGAAGAAAAAACAAAAAGTCAGTAAATGAGCAGAAGTAAGTGTAAGTGCATTTTTTTCCTATGACAAGTAATGAGATTAAAGTTCACTACTTCATTTATTTCAATTATCAGACTGGCTATCTAAAACACACCTATTTTGAAGAGCACCAATATGACAGACTTCAGAAAAAAAAAAGACAACAAGACCACAAACAAAACATGTGCTTCCTCATTCTCTACACACTTGAGACTCCAACCACTAACTGTTGATGAAATAAATGAAATTAAAAAGAAAAATCAGTAAACTTTAAACAAATTACACGTAAATGAAGAAAAACATGCACCACTAGACAAAAAGGCCTCAGTCTCTTCAGCATAAGAATAGCTGTGTCTTGTGGAGATGAAATTTTAAAAGAAATCAAAAAGAAAACAAAAAACAACTTAACAGACAAGTTCCTTAATAAGTTCCTCCAAGTTTTTTTTTTTAGTTTTTGTTATGTTTTTCACATTCAGCCATTATTTATCTATTTCTTATTTTCTGGTGCCTGGGTTGAGATTTTTAGAGCAGATTTGCAGAAAAACTGTATGCAGGAAAAAAGAAAGAAATCAGGATGTAGACGTATGCCCAAATTCCTGATATTAAACCATTCCTGTCCTTCTCTTCCCTTTCATAAATTGGGACCACCACTCCTTGCTTCAGAGCCCGTGATGAGGACAGACTCTGGGAACACCTGAGAACCAAGGGCATTTCCAATATACATAAAATACCCAGTCATGTCAAGGCTTCTTCAGTACCCTTACGAATATGCCACTTATCTCAGTTACTAAATAATGACCATCAGTGAAATGTCTGTGGAATTAAGTTTCCAAAAGTCATTTCTATATTTCTTTTACCTACCTTTACCTACATGTTACCTGCAAAGGAAGGCTTGTTGAAGCTCTCAAGCCAGATGACAGACATTCTTCACATTAATTTTTACCATATATTAATTATGTTATCCGTTATTAATTATATGTTATCCATATATTAATTATATGTTACCCATATATTAATTATATGTTATCCATATATTAATTACAGCATGACTGAGGCTGGCAGGGACCTCTGAAGGCCATCTGGTCCCACCACCTGCTCAAGCAGGGACACCCAGATCTGCTTGCCCAATACATGGAAATCTTCACCTATGAACCTACTTACAGCAGCAGATACATAATTTAACAGAATTAGACAATTTTTATTTTTTTTTTTACAGACGTAGACACATATTTCTACATATTTAAACAAAGAAAATAAAAAAAAATAAATCTGTGATTTTTAAGTCTTCTAATCTGAAAAAAATACCTAATACACTTCTGGAGGAGATGTGTGGAGAGATCCACTTTCTAGGGATAATTGATTTGATAAAATGGGAGAGATTACTCAGTTCTAGTTGTTTAGAAGAATAAATCCTTATCTCAACAATATTAAAACATACTGTAATGAGTAAAACAACCAGCAGATCAGAAATACAAAAGCATTTATTTGAAAAAAAATACTAAAAATCATGTACTGAGCTTCCATGGGAGCTGCCCCAGAGTGTGGACAGATCTCTTTATTAGGTGGCAACAGCTTAAGAAGTTTTTGCTCCTTGCTGTTTATGTCTGAACCTCATAGGAAGGCTGGAACCTCATCAGCTGTGCAGATGGGATGACCAGAAGCTCACCTTTAAAATAACCAGGCTTCCCCAGCCTCCAGACAAACATTGAGGTAGGCAAAATCTCTTGTGCCATGTAATCCTTCCTGAGCTGGATGCACTCACAGGGATTTACAAGTTCAGATCTTACATACCTTTTTCTTTCCCTTTGCCCCTGTAACAGTCCCCAGCCCCGGTGTTTAAACTACAACAATTTGCTGCACATTTAATATTTCTTTGAGTGTTTGGGGATATACACAGAATATAAACCAGTAAATTTTCCCCCTCCCCCCCAAAAAAAACATCAAACACACTATAAAAAAAAATAAAAACACAAAACCCACAATATGACAATTTTATGTATTAATGTTCAGAAACACCCTACATTTCAACAACTGCGCAGAAACAAGCACTTTCCACTCATTTTAAATGAACCCATTCACCTGTGTCTTCTGGCAAGATAATGGCTCAGTACTAACATGTTGTGGAACTGCTGAACTGCAGTAATTCAAGTTTTATCACCACCTGTATTGATTTCGTTCCTCCCATTATTTCCCAGATGCTCAACAAAAGAACCCCCTAAAACTGTTGCTCCGATGTAAGGAGCAATTCCATTTCTTTCAGATGCTCGGTCCCAGTGCTCCAGAGCAACTGTGAATAAGGCTTCTGCCAACTTCTGGAGATGCACGCATGCTAACATAACTCAAATGAATGGACTTTCGCAGGTAGAGAGTTTACTTTAGCTAGCACAAAAATTAAACTTTGAAGACAGCTGGTAGTCTCGTCTTTTTTATGCTCGAACCAGTCCTCTGCCAAGATTGCTATGGCAAACCCAAGTACCCAAATTATGAGATTTTGCCACAGGCAGGTAGAGCCAGCAATGTTCAGGTGATACCACGACATGAAGGCAATGAATGAGCATCCAAGTGACTGTTACAAAATGGAAAATAGACTCAGCATTACCACTGAAGTATCACAGGACTGTATATTCTTGCCAGAAGACCCTGATACTAGGAAACATCCATGGCAGGGACTGAGCATCTTGGGATATACCTCATTAAAGCCTACACGCATGCAAAACACACCATGTGTCCAGTATATCTACATATTAAATTGCTTAATAAAGTGTCAAAGAGTATACTAAGTAAAGAAAATTACACCCCTTTTATGCAGAGATAACCAAAAACTTAACAGCTACTGACCATATGATCATTAGTGACCAAGACTTGAGCAAGAACTAGACAAACAAACTAGAGAAGAAATGAGACCCTGTGTGTAAAAAGATGAAGATGGACAGAAGCTGTCCTGCATCTGGCTCAGAACAAAGAAGAAGTGATTTGGGAGAGAGAATTTGGGTAGCAGTGGACAAGGAAGATTTCTTTCACTGTGTCTACACAAACATGACTGTGGATATTCTTTCTGAAGAAAAAGGATTGTACAAAAAATAATAATAATCAGACTTGCACTTTCCATTCCTTGCCCTATTAAAAAAGAAAAGAAAGGAAAGCACCAGCTTGAAAGGGGGGTCACAAAGCAAACCTGACTCAGGATCATTGTTGGTCTTTGCAGTGTTTGTACCTGTGGGCAGGCACCATGCACCTTCAGTGTCTCCTACACACCTGGGGGCGATGCCGGCCTTTGGTGCTTCAAAAGTACACTGTCATGATGCTGTCATCCTAAACTCATTTTGGAAAACATTAAGCGTAATTATATCATGTAATATTTAACATACCCGTACTCTAATCCCATAGTTCGGTGTTCAGTAGTGGAGAGGAGGTTGGGCTTTTATGTCCCTTTTTATTTTGTTTTATTTTTTAACAAAAGCACCTGTTCTTCAGATTTTAGATCTACTGGATTACCTCATCTCCGTGTTTAAACTGTTTAAAGAAATTGAACACATTGAGCAAGACTCGTTCTTTATAAACCTATTCAGGGTAATAAAAAGTCATCATCATTCGGTCTTGACATTCCTATTCAACAGCTGTCAAGATTCAGATAAATAAAGCTGTTGGGTTTTGCTTCTGATAAACACTTGGATTTCACATCTTGGAAGGTATTTAAGAGAAGTATCACAGTACGAATAACAACAGCAGAGGAGAGGCTCCCACAAATAAAATATTCTCTCTGCTCAAGGTGCATGTCAAGTAAGCAGCACGAAACAGATGCGGTTTGCATCTTACAGGAAAGTGCAAAGGAGGGATAAGAACAGTCAAGAGGCTGCTAGCTAATTAGCTTCTCTTCCAAGTAAAATAATCAAATGTGCAGACACTAAAAGCTGTTGATGAAAGGATGTGCTGCTGGTGTCAGGTCAGTTCTAACTACTTTTTTACTGTGGTAGGTGACCTCGCATGGTTCATTATTTTGTTCCTTGCCTGCGAACCCTTATCTCTGAGATAAGCTAAAATGCCTAAGGACAAATAAACTGAAGAACCAGTGCTTCGAGCTAAACTGGATGCTCTGATAGAAAACACACCTCGAGCTGAAGCCTCGGGTGAAGACAACTTTTTCTCCTAAAGGGAAGAGCAAGCACGGCGTTACAAGAACTTGAACATGACTCTAAAACAAAGAAACAAAAACCTTCAAATACAAAAGCTTACAAAGAGCTATTTCAGCCATCACGTGCATACAGACACACACCTCCCAGCGCACAATTCTTCACACTAACCCTGTACAGAAACTTAGGGCTGGAAAATACAAAATCTAGGTTGTCTGAATAGCTTGGTTTACACCCTAACATTGAGCATAAGTCCCACTGAGTTGTGAAATTCCAATCACATACAGGACCATGGATTTTCTTCAGGTCCCATGCCATAGCCACTACACCAAGCACATGTAAACTCAACATTCGTATCAGGTCAGCTATTTCATTATTCACCAAAGTCACAAAATGCTTTCTTAAATAGCCCTATGACTGCATTAATCCCTAGCTTACCCATAGCAAGATCACAGCCTTAACTGGTGGTGATAGGACTGTGTCCTCCTCCTTTGGCTCCCCCTGACAAACAAAGCTTTACATTTTAAAGGAACGATGGAACA